GCTCTGCAACATTCAAAGGCAGCTTTGCTGGGGATTTCCCCAAAATCTGACTTCTTCCCACTTGCCCCGCTCCTCCCAACGCTTTGCTCCTGTCGTTTGCTCGGATTGACTCCTCTATGGGAAGGAAAATTGAAAAAATGCATAGCCAAATGGTGGGGACAGAGCTGGCTGGCCCATTCATGCTGCTCCCATTGATGGTGGTGGAGCAGCAGCACAAGCCCACGTGCCCTCACGGCGTTCCTGTGACAGTGGGGACACGGAGCTGCACGCACGGAGGAGGGGCTGCGGTGCTCCGCTGGCCCCGACCCAGCTCCTGGCTCATGGGAGGGCAATACATCAGGCTGTACGCACTCAGGCCCCAGGCCAGCAAAGCGTTTAAGCACCTGCTTACCCCTAAGCTTGTGAGTAATTCCTCTGGCGTGAGCTAAGCACAGGCATCATGGCAGCCTCCCACTTCCCACGGTCTTCCCTTGCAAGGACATGAGCACGGCGGCCCGGCTGGATGCACGGCTGCCGGCATCGCCTCCGGCACGGGACTACTCACCACCCACCTCTTCTTTCTCCCCCCGTTCACAGACCTCGTACTCGCTGTCTAACTCAGCACACCCCAGTCTTGCTGGCACCTCTGTGGGCGAGACCCCGAGGACCCCCACCAGCATCCAAGAGGCTCTTCCAGTGCTCCCAGCACTGGATTCAGCTGCAGAACTATTTTAGAGCATTCCAGGAAATAAAACAAAACACTTCTGTTGGTGTGCTGTCCCCAGGCACCGGTGTGAGCCAACGTATGGACAAAGTTCAGTGACCACATGTCCACAATAAGACGTCCCTCTCTCGTTTGGGTAACATAAACAATCTTCCTGGTATGGACACCTTGCAGCCCTGGAAACTCGCTCAGCAGATGCTAACCTCCATGCGCTACCAGTACCTGCAGAGAACCCCCAGTCCCCAACACTGATCCCTGTCTGTCTCATCATAAACCATGCCCAGCTGTGCTTTTGCAACTGTTGGGAAGAGGCAGAATTCCTTTTGGCTTCTGAGGATATTAATTTGAATTTTTATTTGTGTTAATTTCCTACTTCCCATACACATAGTCGGCTCCCTCCCACTGAAAAGCACCTATTTAATCTGATTCAGCTGGCCTGCGAAATGTGCCCGCTGTGTGCCTGGCGCTGCGTGGGTTCACCGAGTCGTGCTCTGCGTGCCAGTAATCCCCAGGGGAGCCACGGCATGATGAGCTCCTACCTGCCTGCTCCATGCGCGCGCAGGCACAAGCACTCGGTCGCTCCCGGCTCCCTGGCGAGACAGATCTCCCTCCTGCTCACCCGCTGACAGTGCAGGCTTTCCGCACGCTGTGTGCCTGTCCAGCTCCTCCACGAGCACGCATGCACGTGTGCACTCACACCTATGCAGCCGTGGCGGCACACGCACTCAGCCGTGTGTGCACAGCCAGCCCCCGCGCTGAACCAGCGCCTGCACATTGGCAGTTCGCTACCCCCCTTGAATCCCCCTCTTCTCTGGGCTATATGTGGCATTTCGGAGCTCTGACAATCTGCTCCAAATGTTTTCCATATTTGTTCAGCCTCCTTGATTCAAATACCAGGAACAACTCAGCCAGCACAAAGCGAAGCTTTGGGGGGCCAAAAGCCTCACGCCCCCACCAGCGTGCGCGCACACACACGCACGTGAAAACCTAAAGTTCATCGGCATGGGAAAGGAGGAGGAGAAGAAACCCCAGCACAGCACGTCCCTGAATAACCAAAGCCAGACAGGGAAGGCACCCGAAGCGGAGAAAAGCACCGACCCGAGCAAGACGCAGGAGTCTGCGATGAAGAAGAAGAAGCAGAAGAAAGCCAAGGGGGATCCCAAAACCGGCCAGGAGGAGGAATCCCACACTTGTTGTGGCTGCCGTTTCCCGCTGCTGTTTGCTTTGTTGCAGCTGGCATTAGGCATCCCTGTAACAGTGCTGGGCTTCCTTATGGCAGGCATCAGTTCCTCTCTGCTAGTCAGAGACACTCCATATTGGGCTGGGATAACTGTAAGCATAAAGTCTGTTTCTCCGTAAAGTGCCTTTGCCAACACTAATGCAAGCTGCATGACGCTCCACTTTAGACTAACCAACTGCATGCACAACACCATTTGAGTTATGCTAACTATAAATATTCCTGGGATTAAATGTCTGGATATACTTTCCCAAGGAAACCACTCCTTCAGAATAACACGATCTTTCATCTTCTTCCCTGATATACCCAACAGACCTTAAATAAAATACAGGGTTGCTGTTCACTAGATGTATGTATTAGCTTGTGCTTTGCAGTGTACTCCTGCCTGGTGATGCTGCAAAAGAATATTGATTACTTAAGCTGCCTCCCCCCTTTCCCCACCAAACCATAACAATCAGGTTTCAGAAGTGAGAGCATAACTCTGTAACTCGCAACTTTTAGCCAGGAGCGTTGGTAACTGTGAGAGGAGAGAAATGGCTGTCTTCTGAGCTTCCTTGCTGTGCTGTGTTGAAGAACCGCCGTGATTTAACCCCTTTCCTGCCTGCCGCTCCCCAACTTCTCATCCACGGGAGGGCGAGACCGCGTGTGGCCATGGGGAGGGGGACAGCTGGCAGATGGGCAACGTGGCCGGGGAAGGGACCCCGTCCCGGGGCCCACCGATGGCTCCCACCAGGTCATACGCAGTTCTCAGTGAGACGCCAGCCTTACTGCAGGGGATGGCGGGGATGGGGGGAAGGGCAGGGGCCTGCCGGACGCAAATGGGGGACTCCCCAGCCCCGGCCGCCCCTGCAGAGTTGTGGGGAGGAGGTGTGGGGGTCTTGGTGCTGTGCGCGGTGTGGCCCCGCTTGACCGCCTGCTTGGGGACGTGCAGTTTGCCTGTGGAGAGACGGTGGGTGATTATGAGCCAAGGGCGTGCCGTGGATGCAATTTAGCGTGCAGGTTTTCCCCTAGGCATCAGGCTTCAAGAGAATATATACCGATGTGCTAGCACTGTTTTGGGTGTTGTTAGACCGTAAGAACTCACAGCAAATAAATGAAACAGCTGTGGGAGTGCCTCCCATGAATGTAATCCCTTGCCAGTCGGAGGATTATCTGAACACCTGAACTGTTCGGGGTTTGCTGTATTAACCCTGCTGGGTGATGCTCTAAAGAGTGGAAAGAGCAGGATGTGAGCTCCCAAAGGAAGAGCTCCTCTTACTCATCTTGCCCTTCTTGTTTCTCTTGTGACCGAAGAGGTATCTAAGGGTTTAGCAATGTTTGGTGGGGCGAGAGCCTGCCCTGGCCTGGGAGAAGAACTTCCTCCTGGAGTTTTTGCTGTTACAAGCCAGGGGGGAGTACAGATGATAGAATAGCAGCATGTGACATTTTCACTCCTCTTGTTTATTTTAGGGATTCTGGAGGTCAGATTGTGTCTTTTCCAGACAGCACTAGTAGTATCCCGGGTTTGAAATACCTTTTTCACTAGAAAAAGCTGGGGAAAGTGTGAGCTGGACCAAACTAGCGTATGTCCAGGGATATGAGAAAAGCCATGGAAGCAGCCCCTGGCCCATGTGAATATTATCAGTGTCCAAACAGCATCCGTTTGAGACATCCACATCTGCCTGACCTCCCTCAGAGAGGCCTGAAGTCCCTCCAGAGTCGCTGCTTTCTGAAGACCAAGCTATAACCCCGCTCATTTTCGCGGCAGCCTCCGGCGCTAGTGACATTCAGACGCTCACAGGAGGCAAAGCCCCGTCGCTTTCAGTGTTCCCCCTGAAAGGCAGGCAGAACTCTCCCTGTGCATTCCCGCGCTAATCCCCCACTGCGCTAATCCCCGACTCAAAGCAAGACTCAGCTCTCAGCCGTGATGGTCGTGCTTTGCACTCACCAGCCAGCCAGGGTAACCCCTGGGGGAACGCGTCCTGGGACTGTGCTGGCTGGAGGGACCAGGGCCTCATTTTGCTTAGTGTCACCAGGTGCCCTGGCCATTGGGAAGACCAGTGCGCCCGGTGGGCTGCGGGCAGGGACTTGTGGGGAGGGGTTACTGCTCCCATGGTTTGAGTCCGGTGGCGACTCTCACCTTGGGGACTCTGGTGTGAAGTTGAGCCACTGGCATGCTCAAGCGTGGTTTGATTCCTCCCTGGATCAAAATGGCTTTAGGTGCCCACCTGCTTGCCCCCAGGGTGATTGCAGGGACCATGTGCTGGGTGCAAAGGGCCAGGCAGGCTCCTGGGAAACCATGCTGCTCTCCTGCACCCTCAGCCCCAAGCATTTTTTTTTAAGCCAGTGGCAGAAAGGAGAGGTTGGGGTGGTGATGCTGCCCCAGAGCCTCCCAGCGAGAGAGCATGTGTGGAGCACTGGCCATGGCCGATGCACCACAGGAGTAATGCAAAGCATATATCTGAGGGGCAAAAGGCAGGAGGTATGACATGGTGCTGCATTTACTTTGTTCCTGTACTGTGGTGTCTCTGTGGAGGTACTTGGTGCCCACTGCGACATGGGATGGAGATGGCCGAGAGCTGCTGAGCTGAAGTTTCTGGGTGTGCGAGTCACAGGGTGCTGCTGGTGAGCTGTGGCGGGAAGCGTGCTGAGGACTGGCCTCCGGAGAGCTGGGGGGAAACTGGTCTGTAAAGAACCCTTGGCTGGGACATCCTTACGTGTGGCTGGATGTCCTATGGGCTGGCTCTTGGGCTGCTGTGGGAGGCTGCATGGAGAACATATATAGGTAGGGGATGGATGACCCCCATGTGCTGCTCGAGAGCAAACCTCGTGGCAGAAAGTGGCTTCCCGAAACTCATTTATTTGCACACAAATGAACAACAGAACAGAAAGATGTGCTGTAAAATATCAGAGCATATTTGTTTTAGTAGCATCCCACTCAAGTGCTCTTTTTAAAGGACTTGATTAGTATTCAGAATCAAGAACTTAAAAAAATCTATTATTGAGACCTTTTTAGCAACATTAGAGATAATGGGTGAAGCTCATTCCTAGTGTTACTCCTTTGGAATTACACCAGGGCTGGATTTGACCCCACAGCTGTTAATGCAGGATGACAGAAAAATGAAGGAAAATTGCTAATGTGTTAAATAGACCCTGATTGATTGAAAGAATTTTTTTCTTCTTCTTTTTCTTCATTAGTGGCAAAATGGTGACACCATTCCTCGCTGAAAATCAGCGCTTCAGTGCGTTACCATGAATGAAAAGGAACTTCATTAGAGAAGCAGCTAGAGTAAAATACTACCAAGGAAAACCATGCAAGGCAGTCAGAGTTAAACTCGTTCAAAACCTGACCACCGAAGTTTGTGAGGATGGTGCAGGCCAGGGATGAGGTTCGCCATCCTGTGGAATCGATGTGGCCAGTGATCCGCTGACAGGGAGCAGAGGAGGCCCCCGGCACTGAAGGGGTCCCCCCCGAGGGGTGCCTGGCACTGGCCCTTCCCTCCTGCAGCTTCTGCAGAAGGAAACGATACAGCTTGCACGTCAGAAGCCTGTCACCTTGTTAAAAGCTGCTAGTTCGAAATACATTTCAGTTGAAATCCGTGGGGCATTAGTCAGAAACCGAAGGAAAGGTTTACTCACAGAAACCACGGAGTCTACGTGATTTACCACTTCTGCTTCGGCTTCAGCCACCCATTCGCTGTGGAATGCCTCTGCTGCATGGCTAGGGACAGGCAAACAAACGCGATTAAACGCGGTGAAGGTGGCATTTGTTTCACCTGCCTGCAGCCATTTACAGCGATGGTGTCCAGGTCTGAAGCAGTTGCCCGACTCCTCCGTGAGACCTGTCCTGAGCACCCGAAACTGCAGTCTGGACCATCCCAGCAGTCTCTTCCTGCTTGCTGGTTTGAAGGAGCTTTGACAAACTCTTCACAAATCCACTCAGGGGTGGAGGGCTTTATTTTTTTTCCTGTGTCTTGCCACTGACTTGCTGCGTAGATTTGGGCAAGTTACTTAACCTTGCTACGACTTTGTTATTTCCCCTGTAAAGTGGGGTTAATAATGGCTATCCATCACCCCTTGCTTTGAGATCCTTGGATGAAAAGCGTTGCAGAAGCGGTAGATATTAATGGTATCCTTTTCATTCTTTTTCATTAGCTTGTGGCCTTTTGACACCCAGAAGAAGAAATGATGTATTTCTCCTCGAAAAATCTGCTGCTAGATTATTTCCACTGTGATCAAAAGTAGAGAGTATCAAGAGCTTTCACAGGCAAGCTCCCTCTCAGCCCTGTTTTGCAGACTCAGGCAGCTAAGTTACAGAAATGCTCATCAGAAATTATTATCCAGGGTGTTTATTATTTCTGTCAGAAAGTTATTGTAAATGCATATGTATGTATGGATGTACATAAAATAGGGATTTTTTAAAACATTATTCAAAAAATCTGTTTCTCAAGAAGCTCAAGGCAGCAACCATGGCTCCAGCTGTCACTTGTTTTATTGCAAAACGTGTCTCAAAAGACCTGCCATGGGCTGAGCCCCCAGCCCAGGAGCTCAGACGCTTCTGCCTGCTCAGGCCCATCAGGGCCACGTCTCCCCGGGTGTTTCTCCAGGCCAGAGGGTCCCTGATCTTTTCCCAAGGGGTAGCCCTGGCTCGCTGCTTTTTGGCATCGGTGTTCAGGCATTGGCTTCTCTGCCCTGGTGGAGTGAGGCTGATGTGGGGCTTTGTGGTGCAAAAGGAGGGTAGACTTTTAGCTGAAAAAGCAATTTAATTATTCTTCATTTACCTGGAGTCAGAAATGTTTATGTCTGTGTGAATTTTTAGACTTGTTTCAAAGAATCTTTAAATAAATTTAAACCAAAACCTTCGCCAAAGGAAACATATTCTTTGCTTTGAGCATCTCACAGACAAGGACAGGTGAGACAAATGAAGGTCCAGCACCGGCTGGAAGACTCAGCTGTGAGGGGCAGTTTGCAGGAGACGAGGGGCGAGGGACGGCACATGTGCAGCAGCATCAGAGAACGGTGCAAGGCTGCCTGGGCTGGCGGAGGAATTTGGCTGGCTTCCGTGCTTCAGAGATCTTTCGATGCAGCAAACAGCCAGGATTATCTCCCAGTGTCC